TGCGAGTGTGGGTCGACGTGTTTGGTGCACACAGCAGAAGTGAGTGTCAGGGGAGAGGCAGGTCAGTGTGGGCTGGAGGAGGTGGCATGGGGGTCTGTCTCATGCTGTAGGGAGCCAGAGCCCAGGCAATCAGCTGCTGACAGCAGCACTGTGGTGTGACTTCTCTCTAATTATGTCATCCCTCTGCCCCCCTTCCCAGATGATTTCCAAAGTCGACTGCTGCTCTAACAGGCTGCAGCTCTATTCTTCTCAATCCCATGATTCAGGAGGGGCTGAGCTACAACACAAAGGATAGGAGACCAAGTAATGGCGGGGCGGGGGGGGGGGGATCTAAGACAGTGGTCCTCACATTTAGAGCCTGTTGGGTAGAAAGAACCTACTTCAAAGCCCAGAGCTGTACCACTCAGCTCCACCTCTGAGGAGGTTTGAGATGGGGCACAGCATCTCCTCCAACCAAAATCCCCCTGGGGAAGTATGTGCCAGGCAGAAGGTGCCCAGCCATCTTTGTGTGTCTCCTTAAAACAGACAGTGGGTCCCACATCTCGGGCTCACCCACTTTCACCCAGCCTCTTTTCATTCCATTCTCCTCTTTTAGCTCAGATCTTTTTTCTTTAAACTTAATTATGCAAGTGATACATAAATACATTCTAGGTCTAAATGTGTCAAACCAAACAAAAAAGTGAAAGTCATGGGAGACATCCCCACACCCCACGCCTGCTCCCTCTCTTCTGCTCCGTGTGACTTCTAGACTATGTCCTTTGCATGTAAATACAGACACAAGTACATATGGAAGGAAGGAGGTGCCTCTGTCATGTACACTCAGAGCAGATTATTTTACAGCTCGAGTTTCCCATCTGACAATGCGGTTGTCTGTGTCGGTACATTTAGGATCATTTCAGCTTTTTAACTGCTGTAGAGTATTCACAGTTTTTAAATAAAAACATTCCTGCCCTGAGGGACATTTAGGTGGCTTTCCATTTTTTGCTATTCCAAATGGCTACAGGGTATGCTTGTTTGGTCTGTGAGAACAAGTGTGTTTACTTGTAGGATCAGGGTTTGGGAGACATGGCTGGGCCTGAAGGCATGGAGAGGTTTCTGGCCATAGGAAAGACACTTTCTTCTCGCCTTCTCAGGCCTCTGAGTTCGAGCCCCTCCCACTCTGTCCCTCAAGGTTAAACCATGATGCCCCAAGAGAATTCCGTCCTGCCCCTCCTCTGTGAATTCCCGAAGGGCCTCAGTAGGGACACCTGTGGGGACACCTCAGTGCATCCTAGGACAGTGAGTTTGGCAAATTTAGTGGCACCCCAGCTGAGGCTGACACTGCCTATCTTCTTTCTAGTTGCACGAGCCTCACAGCTCGGGGGAAGAGGTCTGAACCCTGAACCCTACTGAACTACTGAACCCTGTGAGGAGTAGCAATGAGTGACAGGAGGTCAAAGCTGGTTGTTCTGGGCAGGACTCTGGGTGCCCAGCCTCGGTCCCAAATATGAGACCCAGCAGGTGTCCCATGGCTGAGGCTTGGTCAACTTTCATGGTGGACTCTGAGTCACCTGGCCCCACCCCAGGCCCAGCATCACCTAGGACTCACCAGGATGGGAAGCCCCTCCCACAGCCTCTCCCACCAACCCTTAGCCTTCACACCCTGCTTATCCCTATTTACCTTCCTAAAGAGCCTTAAGTGAGAGGACTCATCTCTGCTGGTGGAAAGTCAGACTGCTCAGAGATGGTTGGAGAAAGATCTAGGTGGGTTTGCCCAGTTGGTCTCTGTGGAAGGCTGGTCTCCCCTCAGAGAAGGGCAGAGGGGACTGAAGATGGAGTCCTGGCTCCTCTCTAACATGCTTCCTAAGAGGGAATCTTGCCCTCTGTAATTAGTGGACTCTGTGGAAGTTGTTAGTATCTGAGGGCTGGTAGGCCTCCCCACCAGCTTCTGAGAGGAATTACTGCCCCATTTTACAGTTGAGGAAGCTGGGGCTCAGAGAGACAGATAAGCACATGCCCTGTGGCTGGTATAGGGCTCCCCTGGGCAGAGCTGTGCATCAGCCTTTGCAGGGAATGATCAAGGACTCATGGAGGGACAGGAAGAGAACACTGTCCAGCTGGAGGACCCTGAGGAAACCTAGGGAGAAGAGCCACCTGCAGCAATCCACCTATCAACTCTCACAGGCAACATCAGACCCTGCCACCTCTAGGGAAGTCAGCACAGCTCAGATCCACAGAGCCATGGTGAACTCTCAGCAGCTCTGAGCACCCTCTCTGTATCTCCCCACTTATTGCCCTGATGCCAAATTAGCCCAATGTTCAGCATTCAGTGCTGTCAACCAATAAGCATGCATCCCCTTCCACTGTTCTGGGCACTGAGGACCATGCAGGAATGGAACTAAATCAAGTTCCCAACCTCATCAGAGCTTTCAGAGACTGCCAGTCAATGAATACATACATGTTAACATGTCAGGGAGTGGTGGGTGCCGAATAGGAAAAGGAAGCACAATGGGTCAGAGGTTACATGTGTTGGGGGGTGGGTGAGGCTGTTAAATGAGGTGTCAAGAGAGGTGACTCTGAGAGTGTCACATTTGATCAGAAAGCTGAGGGAAGTGAAGGAGCAAGGCATGCGGGCAAGAGGGGTGGGGCAGGGGTCTTTCTGGACAAGACCCTGAGGTAGACTGTGTCCAGCAGGCCTGAGAACAAGGAAGAAAGCTAGGCCCTGAGCATGAAGAAGACACTCCAGGAGGAGATAAAGGCAAGGGTAGAGATGTCAGAGGGAGGCCACACAGGGTCTGGGGTCCCTCAAAGATCCCATTCCCAGTGAAGTTCTGAGCTCTGCCAAAAAACATGGTAGAAATTCCTGGAAGCTGGACAAAAGCAACAGATTCCTTTTTTCCCCTCCAAAATCCTTTTCTTGTTACCCAAGGCCATGGAAACAATATGGTCATTTCCTCCTTCTCCGTCTCCTCCTGTTCCTTCACCTCCTCCCTTTGCAAACCTGCCCCTGACCTTGTCCCAAGCTGGCTTGCCTGTATGCAGCTGAGGCAGTGGCTGCCTCTCAGTTGCAGGCAGAAGACAAGGCCAACAAGGGGACAAGGGGAGGAGAGGAAAGACACCCCCCCGCCCGGGAGAGGCAGGCAGCAGCACAAGGGACGACGTCACAGGGGCCTCTGACCGCTATTCATTTCAGTCCCTGTGTCTCCATCAATAACCGTCTGCCAGTGACCAGGAGGGAGAGAGGAGGAGGCTGATACGGGCTGGACAGGGCGGGGTGGGTGGAGTGGGAGACAGCTCCTTGGCAGCTCCTCCTAGCCGGGCCGGAGCGGGCCAGAGCGGGAGGGGAGAGGCAGGGCTGGCTCTGGGAACTCAGATTCTGTCTCCCTGCTTCCTTCTTCCATCTCCAGGCCCCCTTCACACATATATTCCCCTCCTGCTTCCTCTCTGAAGCCAGGTGGAGAAGGAAGGTAGTACCAGTTTCCGTAGTAGAAGAGGAGAAAGGGGTTTGGCTCGGCACCAGCTGGATGGTGGAGGAATCAGGTGTTACCGAGGATGCTGGCAGTACTCAACAAAGACACCGAAAAGCCAGGACGCCCCTGGTGATGAGCACTGGTGTAGGCACCAGTCTGTCACCATCAGGCTGTGGCCCGCAAGAGAGGATAGCCTGGGTCACAGGCCTGGCACAGGGTGGGCATCCAGGAAATAAATGGCCATGAGAAGGACCAAATGGCTGGCCAGTTTTGGTCAGGAAAGGAGTTTGTTTGCAAATGGTCTAGAGCAGTCAAGGAGGGCTGCCTGGAGGAGGCAGAGCTCCATCCAGTTGAAAGATGGATGGAGTCGGGGAAAATACAAACGGGACAAGAGGGTAGAGGTGGTGAGCAGACTGTGAGCACAGGAACGGAGGGGGTGAGTGCAAGCCGTGAGGAGGCTGAGAAGATAACAGAGAGGAAACAGGGGGCTGCCGGGCGTTCAGGGTGCCTTCTCCAGGACAGCTGTCTCCAGAGGACTTAGGACTGCTGTAGCCAAAGTGGGCTTTTTGACTCCCACGGTGACTTCCAGGCTTTCAGGGGAATAGGCCACAGGTGGGGGGCAGTGGAGGAAACTACGGGAAAGACTCTCCCATCACCAAACATTGCCTTTCCCTTGTCACAGTGCCCAGGGGGCATTAAAAAGTCCCCCAGGAAGCAGGTTGCTCTGTCCCATCCAGATGCCCCGGTGAGGAGCAGGTGGGGCCAGGTGACTCAGTGGGAGTACGCTGGACCCTCCATTCACAGATGGGGAGGCTGAGGCTGGACAGAGGATATGGGGCAGAGCCGCAGACTTGAGGGGGAGTTAGAGGCCAAGGAAGGGTAGGCCTCAGTTCCAGCGCTGTAGATCTGGCTGGGTAGTCCAAGAAGCCCTCTGCCTGGCAGGGGTGTGAAGGCTCTCCCTGCAAACGTGACAACAGGCATTGGGACAGGGGACACAGGCAGCACGTGACAGCCCTGTTCATTTTATTAGGACAGCCTGGCCAGGTGTCTTCCTCACAGAGTGAGCCTTTGTTTGGAAGGGGGTAGGTCCCTTATCACCTCTGATGGCGCAGCAGCCTGAGTTCACGATCAGGTGTAGGGGCGCCGGGGCCAAGGGTGAAAGCTGCCCCTTCTGGGAGGTGTTGAGGTTGGAGAAGAAACAGGTAGAAAGAGCACCCGCAGGGAGGGGGGAAGAGGACGGAGACGCTTGAGGCGTCAGGGCTGGGGACAGAGAGAGACCCGTGGGCAGAGGGGGTGTGGTGGGGGGAGACTCCTCGGAGGGAACAAAATAGGAAAGCAAAGGGAGGGACGAGAGGCAGACAGTCAGGAGCACGGAGAGGCAGGAAAGCTCCGAGGAGAGGGCACCAGAGAGAGAGGTGGGAGGGCGACCAGGGGCAGCGAGAGGCGGAGGGCGCGCGGCAGGGCGCGTCCCGGGCCAGGACAGGCCGAGCCAAGCCGGGCTGGGCTGGGGGCGCCCCACTGACCCTTCTCGGCGCTTGCTTCCCTCCCCAGGCTGCGCTTTCCTCACCTACTGCGAGCGTGAGTCAGCGCTGAAGGCCCAGAGCGCGCTGCACGAGCAGAAGACTCTGCCCGGGGTAAGTCAGTGGCGCCCGCCGCGGCGCGAGCGAATGGTGCGCCGACAGGGGGCGACTTCGCGAGGCCGGGCTGCGACGCGGCGGGCGGGCGGGGAGACCGGGGCCGGGACGCCGCCACCTGCTTGCGCCCGGGAGGGAGCTGGCGCGCACGGGGCGCGTTCTCTGCGCTCCAGCCCCGACGGAACCTGGCGTGGACGGGGGCGAACTTGGCAATGGCCGCGAAGCCTAGGAGCGGCTCCAGTGCGCACTGCCCGCAGGGTGGCCCGGGGCGGGGGAGCGGCGGCTCGTGGAGCCCCGAGACAGCTCCGGGGCACGGGTGCCACCCTGCCCGCCTAGCTGGTCCTCCGACCCGGCTGTTCCTGCGGTGGGGGCTGCCGGGGGAGGGAGGGGCGCCTCCCGGCCCGAGCTCCCGAGCTCGGCGCCGCCACCGAGTGAGATCACCGTGGTTTATTTAAGGAGCCAGCCCTCGTCTTTGATAAACTATCGCGCCTCGGCCCTGGTTTATAGCTTCTGCGCGGGGGAGAGGAGAATTATTTATGGGCCCCCTAACTGGGTGTGATATCAGCCATGGCTATTATCGAGGCTAGTTCATCACCATAAAATAAGAAGTGTTCCTCGGGTCAAGGGTGTGTGCAGTCTCTCCTGTGGGTTCAGAGAGATGGGGTGGGGGGAGATATACAGCTGCTGAGTATCTAAAGATAAATGGAAAGATGTGTGTTTGTGAGCGTAATTTAAAGAATGTATAAATATCCGGTGTTTAAGCTTATACAATGGACACTGCAGGGAAGCACGTGTGTTCTCCATGTATGCGCTCCCATGCTACACATGCATGTTTACCTTCTTACCAAGCAAACGTGTGTAAACACACGTTTCCATCTCTGCTCCACAGCGGGAAAGGTTAACCAGGTAGAGGAGAGAAAATGCAACCCCGGGTGGGGTCGGCCTTCCTTTGCATCAAAGATCTTTACCCTTTCGGAGGTGGGGAGTGCTGAATCACACAATCCCCTCTTCCATTAAGACAGCCTTTGTATTGTATTTTGGTATTTGTGGTTGCAAAGCACGGGGCTGAGTCATCTTAATAACATACCTGCTGATGCAAATATATGGAAATGGAGCACCGCACAGATTTTGTGTGGAGCCGGGCTCTGGCAGGGTGGCCATTCCCAGTTGGATTTTTAGTGGCGCAGCTACATGCACATATATTATAGTAATTACTTTCTGGGTGCCCTCTGTAAGATGGCAGAAATATGCTCCACATCGCCCCATGTTATGTGTGAAGCATAAAGCCATATTGTAAGATAATCAAAGGCTTCTGAGAAAGGTTTGTGCTGATTAATAAAGTGTTTATGGTACTTTGTTTTGGGGGAGATTGTGATAGATATTTTGGAGCCACCCAAATGGAATAGAAAATACCACATTGTTATGGGAGGCCCTTCATCAGCTGGAGGGAGATTGCTGGGGAGTTTCATGATGGCTAAAAGCCAGAATCAGATGGGGAAACAGAAAGAGAGAAGGTGGGAGGGCGAAGCTTAAGATTTTGAATGGGGAGAAGCCTGGAACTGGGAGAATTTCAGTAATGAGTATGGATTGTTGGGGGTCTAACATTAACTTGTGGTTGTTTATTTTACATATAATAGAATAGCTAAATGATGGAGTGTATTAGTTCTTTAATAATTTATAGAAATACTTTGATGTTGCAGTAATTACATTAAAGGTCACATATCAAAGGTAATTTGGTTGAGCAGCTGTGATGGTTTCTCAGAAACAATCAATATCACTGTCCGTGGTGCTGATTTCACCAAGGGGCCTGCCAGATTAAAGAAGGCTTATTACCAGGCAGAAAGGCCCAGGGGAAATCAGGAGCACATTGGAGCGACGCGCCAGCCCCCCTTCCATGATAATTAACACTGTTCCCCATAATCTGCACTAATCCTTCATACTGGGAGATCCAATGGCATTTTTCTGAAATCACAAAGACAAGTTGGGCAAGTTTGGGAGGAAGGGGAAAAAGAAACATGAATGTATGTTGGGAGAGAGGAGGGGTGAAGATGAGGCCAATAGCAGAACTGCACATAGCCCAGAGTCCCTATGCGCTGCCTGGAACACCAGCCTTTCTTCAAAGGTTTCTCAGGGCGATTCATGGCCTCAAAAGCCTCATCACACAAATTCTCAGGGCAGGCACAGGCCTCGGCGGGCAGGGACAGGGAAAAAAGATAGAATTGTAGTGCCAAGTTCTGAGGGCACATTGTTCCCACACAAGCTCACATGTAGACAAATGAAAAACAAAATGACCAAATAAAAGTTTGCTTTAAAGTGGAGTCATTTTGATTCTGGAAAGCGGAACTGGAGTTATTATTGCTAGTTGGTTTTCTCCTTTGAGAGCAGAGAAAGTGTGCTGCTAGCAAATGCAAGGATAGGACCAAGTAAAATGCACTGGCCCGACCAAATAATATGTGCTCCTGCCAGCTGAGACCTTGCTTATGGCTACCTCTTTGGTGGTGGGGGTGGGGAGGAAGGGGAAAACCCCTCTTGTCTGGGGTGAGCACACCAGGTGCCCAGCAAGCACACTCTGTGTCTGACTAAGGAGAATGAAATTGAAAAAAGAACCTGGAAAACTGGCAACCTCAGCAATTTAGGCACTTTTCCAGACTTCAAAATCCATTAAAGTCAATCCATTAAAATCAGCCCTCCACTTTCTTACTGAGGAGAGAAAGAAGAGGAAAGATAGTGCAGGCAATGTATCCTGTTTCCCAGCAAGTTACAGAGCTAGCTAGCATCCTGTCACCAGCAAGAAAAATCACCCCATGATTGGCATGCTCATGATCACACAAACACCACCACCATCACAACAACAGCAAAGACAGAGCCGTAGACATCGTTAACCCAGGTGTTCGTCTGGGGACAAAGAAAGGAACTAACCTTTCTTTAGGGATTAGTGGGCACTCAGGTGCCACACCACACTGGCTGTTCTCACAAGTCAGAGGTCAATTTCCCTGAGAATCAGTCTAATCAAAGCCACTCCAATGGCAGATGGAGTCATCCTGAACTAGCCCCACAAATGAATTATTACTTTTGACTTTGGCATGAATTTAGTAGAGTGAGATTAGTAAACCATCAAGTTACATCAAGATCTTTTAGAGCACAGCCTTCTTCCAGAATCTAGGCAGGGTGATTCCACTTTTTCTAAACTCTCTATCTCTATCACAATCTCTCTTCCTCACAATCTCACTCTCCCCTGACCCCCTGGCCCTCTCCAGCCCCTTCTCTTCCATTCTCAATATTTGTTTCACTATTTACAGGGTTGAGTCCACATAGGATACTTTCTCAATCCAACAGCAAGCATTTCCTGAGTGTGTACCAGGAACTGGCCCAGGTGGGTGCCCTGTAACACAGAGAGACAAGCAAAACACATCTACCCTCTCTCTTGGAGTTTCTCCTTAAGTTGGGCCCAGGAGACACACACAGGCAAACACACACACACACACACACACACACACACAAATATAACCAATATAAGACAAAAGATGTTATTATAAAATGAGTAGTGTGGATAGTTACTCATTAATCATAATTAACATCGTTAATCACTTAGAACAGACTGATATGATGCCAAGCACTGTACCTCGTTGCCTCCTTTTATCTGCACAACCGCCATATGAGGAAGACATCAGGATTCTCCCCCCGCAGGTGAGGAGACCGAGGTTTGCCCAAGGTTGCACAATTTGTGAATAGCACTGGGTCTGCTGTGACCACCTCTATCGGCCCTTCCAGTTGCTTTAGGAGTTCAGAGGCAACAGAGATGACTGTAGAGTACAGGAATGGCTAGAAGGTTTTCCTCAGGTCATGGGCATGTGGGACTAGAGAGCTGGGAGTAAGAGGAGTAAGTCAGATAAGGGCACTGAGAAGCAGCACAGAGATGAGGCGCACAGGGTAGGGTGGGAGCCAGGAGCTGGTGAGATTCTTTGGGCAGTGGAAGCCTGCTCAGAGAGCTACCTGTGGCCTAGTGTGCACAAGTAGCCTGGAGGAAGAATTGTGTCCCTTGCAATACAGCTTGGTGCTTAGTCCCAGATCCTCCTGCATTTCGGACTTTGCAAGAAATTGTCTTCCAGGAAAAACCCATCTGTCTCCAAAGCTGGGAATCCAGGGTCCCAGGGGAGGACTCTGAGTTCAGAAAGCCAGGGGATATGGCAAGCAGTGGCAGCCCTTTCCTCTTTTGGCAGCAAAGAGGGCTTCTGGGCAGGGCTGGTGACAGGAGAGCTGGGTCCATCAGCAGGAGGCCTGCAGGCGGCGAGGGGGCTGCTGGGGAGGAAAGCTGTATCTGCTTGGTAAACATTAAAGTTCCAATTCACTAGTTAAAGATTGGCTTTTTATCCTCACTCCAGCAACCTGAGAATACAAAGCAAACTAACCCACCTCCTCCCACCCTCAGCCCTTGCAGGCATGCACTGCCCATGCCGCAGCCACTCCCAGCTCCCCACTGCCACAGGTCACTGCAACTCAGTGGGTCATTTCCATTGAAATTCAGGGTGACCTTCCTTGGGTTTACCAGGACAGAAGTTAAACTGGAAGATTTAAGAAGTTCGATTGACTCCTCCTTCCCCCTCTCCTTCCCCCCACTCCACCTCTACCTTGACACCCATAGGGGGCTCTAATGGGACCTCCTCCAGCCTTGGGGCTTCCCTGCTGAGGGCCAGCTCCTTCCCAGACAGCCCTGCCACTGAAGGATCCATCTAATTTTATGTACAACTGTAAAGATGAATGATAAGTAGAAAGGATGCAGGCAAGAACAAGATGAATAAATTATAAAGGGCAAATGATGACAAGACAGGGGTCCCCAGAGACAGTGATATGATAACAGAAACTAAAGATGAATTTATGATGGATGTAGTTAGCATGTATGGAGGCTGTTAATTCTTCGGGGTAGTTTTACAACTTCTAGTGATTGGCGCAATCAAAGCATTTCATTTTAGAGACATGATGTGTTTCCACTCATCTGTCCT